TTCTATGAATGATCCCATCAATTTAACTTAACATAACATGCTTTCTAAGACAAAAAAATAATGTTTGATTACACTATATTTCTACATCACACAACAATGCATATCACCTATCTTAAAACACTTTTTCAAAAAAAAAAAAAAGGGTATTAACTAAAAGAACATTTTTACATGGCAACTATGCATCAACTTTAACGTCGAGGGTTAACATATTTTGTTAGTTTGTGGATAAAGTGACTGAATTTGCAAGGAAATCGAAGTTTGTTGACTTGATTGTATCAAATTGAAGATGATGTGATTATATTTGCTAGTGAATTGAAGTCGAGTGATATGATTGCACCAAATCAAAGATAAGTGACCTAGATGCACCTCTACTCCAAATTGGGTGACCGCAGTGGGTTTAACCCATTATCATAATGTTGAAAACTTCTGTTAGAAAATAAAAATATGAATTTAATTATATTGGTGTATTTAAATTTGTTTCAATAGACTTTGTTACATCCATTGGAAAAAAAAAAAATAAATTACTTGTGCACTAAATAGTATCACCCATAGAAGACTATTTCATTATATGAATGGTAATTATATTCACTTCACAATTTTTATTTTTTACAACACATTTTAATTTCACTTAAATTTTTTGATCTTTGTTCATTATGATACTTATGTCCTTAAAGATAGTTTATGTCATTCTTATGCTCGAACTTTTCATTAGTTAACACATTTTGAATTTGATAACAGTTTTATATCCAAAAGTATAACTTATTTTCTCATTATAAATAAAAAGTACAAAAAACATATATTTTTTTTCCTCATTCCAAAGCATAAAAAACAAAATATTATGATATAAATCGTCATCAAGGACGAGATGCATTAGTAACGGAAGGTGAAGATAAGAAAAAAGTTAAAAGTAAATATTTGCTACAATGAGCAAATATTGAAGAGTTTTAACTACAATTAAAATGTGATGTATCAAATAAAAATTGTAGATGCAATATAACTATCCTTAACTGAAAGACATATACAATTTGAGAAGTACTCGATTTACAAGTTTGATAAAGCCCATGTTTACCCCATTAAAATTATAATTCATTTNTTATAATTCATTTTTTTCTCTTCTTTGCAATAACACATTCTCCAATAAAATAATATTACACGTAATCTCAAAAAAAATTCTTCTTTTTTAACGAAACATTTTTTAAAAAATACTATTCTAATCATTAAAATTTCAACAATCATGTTAGGGTGCCAAAAGAATTTGACACCCTAGGTGACATGCACTCATAGTTGGGGGTGAGTGGGGGGATTTTTTTGCATTTTATATTCATGTGGGTCCCCTGCGGGGCCAGTGCACATGTGAGAGTAGGTCATCCAAGATGTCAAATTCTTTCTGGCAACATGGCTTAATTGATATCCTAATAAAGCATTCTACAAGCAGCAACTTATCAATTAGACTAGTGACTCAATACTGAATGTCCAAAAATAGTGACCAGTGATTCAATATTTTGATCCAAGTGATATTAATGTTTAATAAATAGACAATAAAATTTAAAATTATTCTTCAATACTTTCACTGATTGTTATCCAAGTATCCTTTATTTTCTGAAATAAAAATAAAATTACGTCTAAATCTGAATAGAAAATATAAATTTTTAAAAGTATATTAATATTGACGAGTTAGTGTTTCTAAGAGTGTCTGAATATTAGATGAATCTCCAATCATTGAACTTCTCTGTCACTTCAACTTAATGGAGTCCACATCGCTTACATTGATGATGATATTTTTCTTATGCGACACAAAAGCAATTTACGACAACATTGAAGTAGCTTTCTCGTGCTGGGCTAAGCTTTTTGATTTGGATTTGGGTAATCACATCCAATATTATTTTAATTTTTCACTTATGACTTGTGTTGACCTCAAAAAATGGTCGAATAGAATCCCTGCCACGCCCCCTCCACGTGGATACCGTCTGCACATCGAACACCCCGTTAGGAGGCAAAAGGCCGCCGACCAAGAAAAAGGTCCGGCGACCGTT